ATTAAAATAATGCGTTAAAAACTCTTCCCCACCGCCGCGGGGCCTGCACAGGAGGCTAAAGAAAGCACACATTTTTGAAGTATTTTGACCGGTGACCAACTCATGTTTGACTTTCCAGGAGGATCAGAGCTCCTTGCGACCGACGGTTGTGAGTCGGGGATCCAGGGCATGGTTTCCCGTGGCAACACAAGCGACGCCATTGTGCCCCCGATGGACGGGTTCTACCCACGAGACTCCCCCAACAGGAGCCCCAGCAAGAAATATGAACCTTTGATACCAGGTAAAGCCTCTCTATTTATTCATTTGTTTCTTCATAAAATGGCTGGGTAGCCCATTCAGCTAGTAGAAGCTGCTTTCCAATGGGGCCCAGCATACATTTACACAGGACAAGACATGATTACATTTAGTCAAGCAACAAAAGATGGACAACAGCCAAGTAAAATCTGATGCGTCTCTCTAGAAAAATGGAAATTGAATTTCGCACATCTTCTAAGTTTTTAGAGTTGTTGTGAGTTTCTTCTTTTCTTCATTTCTGTGAATTTTCCCTGATTCTGTGTATTGCCATTTCCTCCTTTGTGAAATCTTTTTTCTGTTTAGCACTACTACTGCCACTATGTGTACTTAATCTGCCTAGTAAAATTTGTTCAAAAAGCACTCCTTCAACTGTGAATATCCAGGAATTGTCCATTTGAATTACGACAATTGGTATGTGATAATGTCAAAATGACTGTGTTCTCAACTTGACAGACATTCTGTATTTTCCCCAAGCCAATCACCTTTAAAATATCCACTACTGGTTAACCTAGGGACACCTTGGCTGTATGTATACAAACCAAACAAAATAATATAGATGAAAATAAAGATCATGTCCAGAATGTGGACTTCCTTCATTTTTGCTCTTACCAGGCGCAGCGGGCGGGATTGCGACGCCCCCGGACACCCTGGAGAGACGAGCAGGGACAGTTGACCCCACCCTGGAGGTGGGAGACATGGTGGAGGTACTCGGCACCCCGCCCCGCTACGGAGTCATCAAGTTTGTTGGCACCCTGCCTGACATCAAGAACGACAGACTGGTCGCAGGGATAGAACTGGTGGGTCTGGATTTTGGCATAGATGTGTTGTCAGATATCAGTTCAATTTGTTGGCCATCAGATATTGCAAAGACTGCTAAAAGTTTGTAAAACAGGATTGTCAATATTGATAGACTGTCACGTGTGCTCAACATTTTTGTGCCCTTGCAGTTTTTTTTCTTTTAGTGCTTCAGAATCTCTTTTTGCCATGTAGTGATGTACATGCACATCCTTCATAGTTCATAGAGACAGATTCTTAAGCAATTAACAAACCTTAGTAAGTACAGAATAGCAAAGTTCTTTTTATCACAACCATTTATTTTTCAAGCCGACATTTCGATGACCTTCTGTCATCTTCATCAGGGCAATGAAATAAAAAGAACTTTGCTATTCAGTCGTTTACCAACCTGATGAAATTATTTACCTTAGTAAGTACACTTTAATTCGTTAACAGGTTAATCATGTTGGTAAATTAATTTAGGAGGAAGGTCTCATTGAGAAAGGTTGATTTTCAAATCAAAGTTAAGCCTTACCCCTTTATTTTCCCAGGATGAGGAGTTAGAAGCCTGTACAGACGGTACGTTTAAGGAGAAGAGATACTTCACCTGCCCTGCCAAGCGGGGGCTGTTTGTGTTTCTGGATAAATGTGCCCGTGACCAGCGGTTTGAGGTACCCAGACCTGACGAGCCCCCTCCCTCTCCATCTGTAGGTACGTAACTATGTTTCCATTGTATCTGCATCTGTATAGCCGGTATAACCGCCCTTCAGCGTAACACACCAGCTTCTATATCTGTATAGCCGGTATAACCGCCCTTCGGCGTAACACACCAGCTTCTGTATCTGTACAGCCAGTATAACCACCCTTTGGCGTAACACACCAGCTTCTATATCTGTACGTATAGCCGGTATAACCGCCCTTCAGCATAACACACCAGCTTGACAGGCACGCGGCATGGCGGCAGCTAGCTACATTATTCCAAATGACTTTTTACACCTAACCCTTGAGCATCTAACTCTAAACATTGTTTAAAGCTATCTAATGATGATGCTCCTACTGTACTTGGTGACAGCGAGTTCCACTCTGATAGTTCTAGGAAAGAATGAATTCTTGAACACCTCAATCCTAGGTTGATAACTCTGGTACTTGAAGGCATGGCTATTTCTTGTACTGACTGGGACTGTTGCTTCCCTCCCAGCTTTTGGCAACTACAACTACCGGTCCATAGAAGACGACACCCTTCCACCAGAGTCGCTGACCCTTGACCTGGTGGGGAGGGCAAAGGGCATCCAGGGTCACCACAACTCGTGTTACCTGGATGCAACACTGTACAGCATGTTCGCGTTCTCGAGCGTTTTTGACGTGTTGTTGCACCGACCGACCAGCCCGGAGGACCTGCCACAGTACGGGGAGGTGCAGAGACTGCTGAGGGAGAACATCGTCAACCCGCTCAGAGTGTAAGTTACAGTTTAACATAATAGTAATGTACTAACATGCACACACACATGCACGCACACACACACACACACACATGTTTACACACACGCAGCGCAAGGAGGTACAGAGACTGCTGATGGAAAACCTAGTCAACCCACTCAGAGTGTAAGTGGGAAAATTTAACATTGTAGTTACAGTATATCATCACAAACATACACACACACACACTTGAATACACACATACATAGCACACACACACACATTTGAACACATACGCACACACATACACATGAACACACATACACATCTATTCAATTGTCTGTGTGTGTCACCATTCACAGTACAACATAGCCATACATATTCAACACTGCTAGTTTGTCTGTGGGACTGGAAGGGTTATATAGCAGTCTGGGTAAAGGGGTGAAGTCTGCCATCTCTGACTGCATTATAGAACAGAGTAATGTCATCTTGCACTCAGTAGAAGTGGAACCTTTTAAGTTTAACAAATTTTTCTAATGATTTTAAGGAAAACTGTGCAATATTACATGTCTTGATGTATTGTATCCCAATGTTATGATGTGTCTAATGTTCCCTGCATGCTCTGTCAGTCATGGCTGACATGACCTGGGCTCTATGTCTTTTTCTTATTTATTGCAAATAAAGAAAGATTTTACATTGTACAGTGAAGGGTTTGTGCGAGCGGACCAGACCCTGAAGCTACGAACTCTACTGGACCAGCTGGGATCCATCCCTGGGCTCCTGTCTGAGGAGAAGGGTGAGTTTCGTGTTCTTACAGCACACTTTTTTTTCATCTACTTCAATTTTCACCTCAAAACAATGCTCATACGAACCACTACAAGTTTTGGGTTACATTAAGGAACTGTTGAGACAGATGTTTGTTCACCCTAGACTTAAAAATTTTAAGATTGTACCATTTGGGAAGAGTTCACAGGGAAGCTTGTTCCATAATGATGACTAGTTCTAGGAAAGAAGCTTTCAGCTTCAATCACTTTGGGCACAAAAATGCTGAACATTCTTTGTATACTGTTCCATATTTTCTGGATAAGTTTCCATGGTGATTCAATGATAATAAAATCTTTTGTTTCAACTGCTGAAACATTGAAAGGTTTCTTCATCCAATGGTTTAAGTGTTCCTTTTATTTCCACAGATCCAGAAGAGTTTCTTACGACTATGCTCAAAGATGTCTTCAAAGCAGACCCATTCCTCAAGATTAGGTAAGTCTCTCTCTCTCTCTCTTGGAGGTCCATTCACAGTTGATGATGATGTATTAGGTAAACAGGTCCCACAGGAAAGATAGCCAGTCTATTGCTTGATTGTCCCTTAGATAATTTTTCCTATTGACACAAGCATTAAGAATCTGATAAGTATACCACATAGGCCAGATTTTTTTTCAGTCCCGAATTGTTTTCTTGGGCAGATTTGACTGTACCACAAGATTACTAATGCCATTGTCTTCTTACGCACAGCAATGATACTTTGAAAAGCAACTTATTTGAAGACTCATTCCCAAAAGATAATTGCAAGGAAACAGTATATAAGAAGATCTACATGTATCTAGTGTTTTATGTACATTACTGAAGGGTTTGATTTCTTTTTTGTCTGAATAACTCTGATGAATATACCTGTTTTACCTCTGTAGATCTGGCACCAACAAGCAGGAGGAGTGTTACTTCTACCAGTTGTTTGTAGAGAAGGATGAGAAGGTGTTGGTTCCCACAGTACAGCAGCTACTGGAGCAGTCATGTCTGGCCACAGACATCAAAATCACTGAGGTACAACATTCAAATGTTGTGTGGTGGGCAGCAACAGAAATAGTTCTATAAACTATAAGATAAAAACATAGTTCCTACATTCATCCATGTCTTGTAGGAGAGAAGGTTATTGTAGAGCCTTGTTACAGTTTGTGTGTTTGCTTTTGTGTACAATATTCCTATATATAGTATTGTAAAATCAATGGTCCGGCCCATAAATCCAAGTGACTGTACGTTATCTAATGGAAAAAAGACTGTTCTGTCACAGCCTTGCTAAAGATAAAAGAAAAATCTTATGGCAAAATTTGTATGCTCCGTGTGACTGATGTACGGATGAGTTCAAGCACTGAAATGAGTGATAGAATTAGATACAAGGATAGAAATGTTTGTTAATATCTGTGATTTTATCCATGCCACCAGATGCCGAGCTGCTTGCTAGTCCAGATGCCGCGGTTTGGCCGAGACTTCAAAATCTACGACAGAATCATCCCCAGTCTGACTCTGGACATCACTGATCTACTGGAGAATGGTGAGAGAACTTGTTCAGTAATGTTGATAACAATTTGTTCAACATTCAACATAGTTTTCTACAACGAAGGTAAACAACGTTATTTTTCTCTGTACAGGCAGAGAATAATGAGATAGAGAGGAAAATAGGGTTATGTAGCTAAGAAAACTATGTTGAATTGATTTACTGATCTGTGTTTCTGTTCTTTTTCTGTGTGTGTTTCTGTTCTTAGTTGTTTGTTCAATGACATTGTTTTGTATCTGTATCCATGTAGCTAATATAACTGCTATGATAGTTCTAGTGAACACCTCAATCCTCAACTCTGGTACTTAAAGGCATGACCATTTCTTGCTCTTTTCTAATCTAAGCTGGTATTCTGTCCCATGCCTGAAAAAAATTTTAACACCTTAATTGTGGGTTGATACATGTAACTCTAGTACTTGGCTGTTTCTTGTTGTTTTCTGAAGTCGGTATTTTGTTCTGTGTCTGCCACAGTTCCCCGAGAATGCACCATGTGTGGCAGTTGTGGGGAGGTGGAGTGTAAGGACTGCTACATGGAGAAGGTGTTCTTCCAGAACAACACCAGCCACATCGTCACCTACTGTAACATCTGTAACCTGCAGGTGGGTTATCATGAAAGTTTTTCTGTACTGGCAGTTACATGTACATGTTTAAAGTTAAATCTTTTGTTTCTAACATTAAGGTAAAGTTCTCACCTAGAGCTTTCGACCAGTCATAAGGGTCCATCACCCGTCAATCAATCATTTACTTTGTAGGCGCTTTGTGTGAGTTTTTATTGTTAAGAAAGGGCACGTGGAAAGAAATAATTTCATAGCTCTTCATATCCCCATAGCTCTTCATAAAGTATAGGCTCGGACTATGAGTGTGATTTATATATTATCTAGATAGAGTGTTTTTCTTTTAAGGCTGTGTCAGCTTTTATCAATATTTGCAAGTGGTAAATCATACCAAATTTGACAAAATAAAACATCCATCATTCCTTCCTTCCTTCCTTCATTCATTCCTTCATGAACCCATTGTCTCCTGTGTTCACATCCCTGATGTCCCTGTTCAAGGTTCCTTCATTAATGCCTTCCTTCATTCATAAAGTAATAATAAAGTTCTTAAAGTTCATTTATTCATTCCTTCACATATTCCAGAGCCATAAGAAGCGTCGAGGGCACAAGCCGACGCCCATCGGTGTCCCCGAGTCCTTCAGAAGGAGACACGACCAGAACGGTTTCCCCGTGCCGCGCATGACAATGGACCTGTTCGCTGTGGTCTGCATACAGACCAGCCACTACGTCGCGTTCGTGAAGTGCGGGAACGAAGCGGACGCCCCGTGGGTCTTCTTTGACAGCATGGCAGACAGAATAGGTAAGCGGGGAGGGTGGTCGACATTTCAATTAGTGCTATAAATTCAGATGTTATATGGTATGTTATATGGTTTGTGGGGTCGTGTGACGCAACAGCAGCGTGCGCGACTCGGAAGCAAGAGGTCCCGGGTTCGAGTCCTGACATGCCACCGATCTTGTGCCCTTGGGAAAGGCACTTTACACGACTTTCCCCACTAGACTCAAGTGAAAATGAGTATTGTATGTCCTGTATTCGTTTCTATGTGCGGGACACAACACCAGCAGCAGCTGCCTCTGTTCCGCGTGTATTGCACTGTTGCAACTTCAATAAATCAAATTAAATCATATGGTATGTTAAGAAAGGTGTTACTGGTAGAACTTGTTATGAAGAAGGGGGGGGGGGTAACAAGTCGGTAGGGAGGATCACGATTTACATACTTACAGAAGTCACAATAATTCACTAATTCACTTTCTTTTAAAATTATTCCAGAAAGACATTAGGGTATGTTGTGTGTAACCAAAGATCTTGCAACAAAAGCAAAGATGACTATTCTACCGGGATGTTCTTAACAGAAAATGTGCTTTTTTGCTGGGTGAACAGAACAGATATGTGTGTAGTCAAGGGTCTTGCTACAAAGGCCAAGATAGCTACTCACGCAGGACACAGAAAATAATTGTATTTGTGTAGTAAACTGTTGTTAAGTTCAAGCTTTGCACAAGAAGGGAACCCACCATAAATTCGTTCTCATCAACCTTCATCAGATGTGTGATGCACTCACTGACTCTCCGGAAGTCGGAACGTGAGGAGTGCATCAAAAGTGTCGGTAAGATGGAATCTACCACCGTCACGGTTTCTTGTGTTGGAACAAAGCTTGAACTTTACAACTACATCATACATGTATGGATTCTACCAACACAGATGAACTTTCATTTGAATAAAATGTTTTTTTCTCTCCAGGTGAACAGAATGGTTACAACGTTCCGGAGGTGAGTGAGATCCATGACTTGAAGCAGTGGTTGGAGGATGAGGAGGCGGTCACCAAGCAGACGGACCGAGAACTGCCGGAGCACGTGCGGAGACTGCTCTGTGACTCCTACATCTGCATGTATCAGAACAGGGAAGTCTCCATGTACAAGTGATGCTTACATTGTGCAAAGATTTCTAGGTGTAACTCATTTAACATGAACTTTTTAACCTGGAATCCAGACTCCTGCCAAGGCCCACACTACTGCTAATTTCTGTCAAATTTGCTGGTAATTTCTGTCAAATTTGGTGATGTTTATGGTATTTGTTTAGTACCATGCTGTAGTCTGTGTAATCAGTGTAATCAGCATCTGATGGAAAGCTGCAGGGATGGGCCTACATGTACCTGCACAGACTCAGGCCCGAGGGAGGCCAGCGAAGCAGCAAGGAAATGGCTGGAGAGATGCAGCGACAAGGCGATGATCGATTGAAAGCTCATCTGTGTTGGTAGAATCAATAGTTATAGAGTTCGAACTTGTTCCGACACAAGGAAGAAACTCACCATAAATTTTCGGCTGATCCCGTCAACCTTCATCAGATGTGTTGGAACAAGTTCGAACTCTATAACTAAGCCATGATGATGAGTGTATTCAGTGTAAGGTGGGTTAGAAGCTTTCAGTTGCCAAACCAAACCAAACCAACCCAGCCTGTAGCCCCGAGGAAGGCTAATAACCAGGTTATGAACATTCAAAGTGTTACATGACATTGTGTAATTGACCATCCATGTGAGCAAGATGTACATGTACAGTAGTTTTCTATTGTGAAGTGAGTGAAGTCTGGGGAGAGAATGTTGAATTGCCATTTATTATAATGAGATGAAAGTCTTGTGATGCATGAATGTTGTTTTTTGTGCCACAGTGTCCACATACATGTATGTTGAGGGCAAATCAGGTCTCATTCCCTGCAAATCTTATCGTATAGAATGTATGTAACACCTAAGATTGGAAAAATAAGGTACAAAGCTTTTGTAAATATTACTATAGAACCAGATGTTCTAAAGGTTAGATGACCCATGATTTCACATTAACTTGTATGACTACATGTATATCAATACCGTAATACACTGTATTGAAAATTGTAATATTGAAATCATTCTTAATGTGTCTACAATTGTGAACATGTACATGTTTTTTTCCTCCTTTGTAAAAAGTTACAAAATTAGTTAATTTCGTTTTGGAAATACATTTATCAAGTGGAAGGTGAAAACCTGAAAGGTTATACAATGTATTTAAGTGTGTAATATTTTTCAGCATTAGCGGTATTGCAAATATGTACTAGTAGATCAGTCAACCAAGTACAAGGCTCGAAACCTTGTTACATCCACCTTATTTATGATTACTATTAATGGAAATTTATTTGATATTTTTGCTGTATATTGGGCTTATACTTTGCATTTAAAGACTGGATGTTTTTAAGCTGCTTTGTAAACATGATGTATCGAAGTACTATCTGTAACTAGATACTCAGAATGGTTATTGCTATAAAATATGCTCATATTTTGCTGTAAAAAGCAGGGTGCTTGTGCTTAGAGATTTTATTTGCAATAATATACAGTTGTACTTGTGATACATTATTCATTGTGTAAATGAAAGATCAATACACATCAACCCTTTGCAGTCCAGTCATTTTTGAAGAACCATGTATATGTGCAAGCAGAGAGTAAATACAACTGCATTTATCAAAGTTTAAACAATTTAGAACTAGAAAGGTACCAGTAAAATTTGCATTTGTTCAATTTGTCTTTGAATATGGTCTGCTATTAATTCTTATTCAAACACATTCATATATTATATGAGGCAGGGGTCTAAATCCCTCCTGCTATAAAATTGCAACATGATGTAACCCAACACTAGTTACCATGGTGACAGACATCTGGTTCAGTTCATTTTTTTGAAGAAGAAACAGCAAAAACAAAAACAATGTTTTTCCTCTGTGAAGACAAACACAATCACAGAATTTTGGTCGTAAAAAATCTAGTGAATACAACATACCATATTTCTTTATAAACTAAGTTCAACAAAAGACAGCAACAATTCTTTTGTATAAAAAAAGTTTTTTATTTCCATACAGCAAACATAAGCAGCTTCTTTTCTGAAGTCCAGCCCTGTCCAGAGTTATGTACACATACGGGAGTACTGCATTCCTTTTCAGAGTTTAAGTACAGGACAGAAGACACTGACACTATATATAATATATACACCTTCAATTTACCTGTTTGTTTGGTACCCAAGTATTATATCAATACATCACTAGTAAAGCAATAAGGACTGAAAGTTCTACGGACTAGATCATGTTATGATTTTAATTTGTAGAAAAAATAAACTGATCTTGAAGATTTATGTTAAAATGTAAAATCTGAAGTTTCAGCTACAAGAAGCTACAAGTTTAGTTTACTAAAGTAAGAACAGACATGGAAACAAGCAGAGGTTTTAGTCCGGGTTATTTTGAGTTTTTTTTAGCCTTTCCTACGTTTCTAAGTTTCCTTAGAGGTGGCAGCAAAAGGAAAGGCTGCAAAAGAAAAAACAAAATAACCCGTAACCAAAACCTCTAGATGGAGAGTAGGAAATAGGTGCAACCACAACAAGGACAAACATGTAACTAACACAGAACAATACTGGATTGAGTTGAAACTATCTTGGCATATACAAAGCCTTAAACAACCAAGCTGTCTTCTCAACAGGAACCAGCAAGCAACATGACATTCTTAAACGTTTCACCAAAAGTTCCTTCACCCTACTAAAAAACGCAAAACTTAAATGACAATAAAAATCTAAGGTGAGAAACGAAAAAACGAATCCAAATATGAAGTTCAATACACTGCCCAAAAACTTCACACTAGTGGGCTGCTTATTGTACATCCATGTACATGTACATCATAAAGTGTACATTGTTTTTACCAGATCCAACCAAAACTACTGCTAATCTCTAGTTCACTGTACAGTTTCACCTTCACTGTTACTACTGGACTCCTTATACACCTATAGTATAAGAGTCTTCAAAATGTGCAAATCTGAAACATGTACTGACTATTGGTGCTCGAAAATTAAAAGAAAAAGCTGAAAAATCTTCTTTAATATCATCTCAAGAGGCATACAACTTGACATGTACTTCTTCTAAAGTATAAGTGCAAAATCCAAAATAATCTGATATGTCAAACTTCAAAGAAGCTGCACTCAACCAAAGTACATGTATAAGCACATCTATCGTTACTCTTGCTCTCCACAGCTTTTAACTGCTGCAAGCTGCAAAGAACCATCAGTGCCAGTGGTCAGAAGCCCCCTCTAGTGTCCCACGTGTGACCTGCACCTGGCACAACTCCTAACATGGTAGCTTTCTGGCTCAGTCCATGTCGTTTTCAGGCGACCACCTGCAAACAACAACACAAAAAACATAGCTCATCACACATTCTAACAAAATTCAAACACATTAGAATTTGGAGTGGACATTTTCAATGGAATATGATAAAAAAGCTCTTGAAATACTGTACATTGTGATCTTTCACAGAGGTTTTATTTTCACAGTAACCTTTTTTACAATGAAAATCTCCCATTCTCTCGTACCAACCAAGGAAAAATTAAACCACCACAAAAGTACATGAATTTGTTTTGGCTATTCAACCCTCACAGCCAGGGCAGCCCAATTAGCCAAGACATAACAGAACATTACGCAAACATATAAGGTGGCTTAACAATGTACGAAAACTATGACAATGAATTTACAGCAGACGGTTTGTTGTTTGCTAACCTTTCGACCTCCTGGCTGCCCCCGTGACACTCCATCATGTCTTCCTCATCCCCCTCATCAAAACTCAGGTCATGTCCCAGGCCGGAGTCAGTCACACTGGGCTGGGCCGACAGGCTACAGGGAGAGATACACACGGTAAGGTACGGTAAGGTACGGTAAGGTACGGGGTGTCCCCCTCATCAAAACTCAGGTCATGTCCCAGGCTGGAGTCTGTCACACTGGGCTGGGCTGACAGGCTAGTACAAGGAAGGTAATTGTAAATGGTACGGTAAGGGTTAAGGTTCCATGTACACATGTTAAGGGTAAAGGTTCCATAGTAAAGGTAGTGGGTTTATGTGTGTCTAGGGCACAGTATTGGAGAGAAAGGCTACAGGAGAGATACACGTGGTAAGGGTGAAGGTCTCATAGCCTTCAGGGTAGTGGGTTTACGTGTATCTAGGGCACGGTATTGGAGAGCAGAGCCCATCCTTCTCCTTCCACTGCATTTTACCTCCCCAACCGAACAACCAAACAGTATTAACATTCTGAAAACATAGGTTTTTTTGGGATCTTCCCGGTGTGAGTGGTTCAAACCTTACAGTCTGGTCTCAGGTTTGACATCTTGAAGAGGTGATAGTAACCTGTTACGTCAATCCTTCCACAAATGTGGTGAATCTTCATAAAGTGAAGTTTTCCCACCTGGCGGCCCTGCATGTGAAGAAGACGATCCTCTTCAGCTTCTTGTTGTAGAAGAAGAAGTTGAAGGACCACACACACCCCTCCTCACCGTACGGGTCAGAGGTCAGGTCAGGGTTGTAGCTGGAAGGGGGGAACACAACACAAGTCAGTACAGTGGAGATTGTAGTAATCAACATAAAACACTGGAACTTGAAATACTCTCATTTGAATACACTGGTACATATTCGAACAAAAGCTCATCTGTGTTGGTAGAATCCATAGTTGTAAAAGTTCAAGCTTTGTTCCAACACAAGAAAGGAACTCACCATAAATTTTCGGTCAAAATCACACATGTGACAAAGGTCGACGAGATCGACCGAAAATTTATGAGTTCCTTTCTTGTGTTGGAACAAAGCTTGAACTTTACAACTATACACTGGTACCTGTAATAGAAAAGTCCTACCTACACGACTGATTTACTCTTTAACATAGATACTATTAGTAGCCTCTCTTTAACATACTAGCACATGTAGTAGCCTTCTACAAGTCCTGGTGCAAGTTAGCTGTCACAGGATGGCATCAAAACACTGTCCTCCCTGTGTCAGCCATACCAACACCACGACTACCGTGTGTTATGTGAGGAAGTTCCAGGCCGTGACTGCTAAATACATCAGTGGCAGGTTGAAAATAGTGCAGTCAGGAGGGACACAACATGTCCAACATACCAGGCATGGTGCAGGGGGCAGTGCCACCAGCTCATGGTAAAACAGAAGTATCTGTTTACATGAGAGTCATTAAAAGAAACTTGGCTGCACTGGTAGAACTTGATGCTCCTTATAGTTCATACACTCTACATTTGCTAGCAAGTTTGACCATTTGTAGTTCTTATATTTATGTATAGCCAATCTGAGAGTCCTTTGAAACAAAATCCGGTAAAAGAAATCTGGCCGCACTGGCAGAAATTAACGTTCCAGATATTGCTGAGACTATCATTCTAAATTTCCTAGAAATTTCGACCCTTCATAGTTGTTGTACCTACCTGTAAATACAGGGGTCTCCCCAGGCAATGGTGCAACGGCGGTGCGCCACTCCCAAAATTTCTAGCGCCACTCCCAAAATTTTCAAATTAAGGGTCTTCTCTTCGTATTTTCGCGGATAAATAGGCAAAAAACATCGAAATCTTGACGCGAGTGGCGTCCATTTTCCCGTCGGCATTGTTTCTGAAAGTTGTGA